ACTGGACAGCTACATGTAAGAAAATGAAATTAGAACATTCTTCAACACCATACACATACACAAAAATAAACTCAAAATGGATTAAAGACATAAATTTAAGACCAGATACTATAAAACGCTTAGAGGAAAATACAGGCAGAACAGTTTCTGACATAAATCGCAGCAATATCTTTTTTGATCTGTCTTATAGAGTAATGGAAATAAAAACAAAAATAAACAAATGGGACCTAATTAAACTCAAAAGCTTTTGCACAGTAAAGGAAACCATAAACAAAACAAAAAGAGAACCTACAGAATGGGAGAAAATATTTGCAAATGATGTGACTGACAAGGGATTAATCTCCAAAATTTAAAAACAGCTCATATGGCTCAATATCAAAAAAACAAACAACCCAATCAAAAAAATGAGAAGACCTAAATAGACCTTTCTCCAGTGAAGACATACAGATGGCCAAGAGACACATGAAGAGATGCTCAACATCACTAATTATTAGAGAAATGCAAATCAAAACTACAATGAGATATCACCTCACACCATTCAGAACGGCCATCATCAAAAAGTCTACCAACAATAAGTGCTGGAGAGGGTGTGGAGAAAAGGGAACCCTCCTACACTGTTGGTGGCAATTTACATTGGTATAGCCACTATGGAGGCCAGTATGGAGGTTCCTTAAAAAACTAAAAATAGAACTACCATATAATCCTACAATCCCACTCCTGGGCATATATCTGGAGAAAAACGTGGTTTGACAGGATACATGCACCCCAATGCTCATTGCAGCACTGTTTACAATAGCCAAGACATGGAAGCAACCTAAATGTCCATCAACAAATGAATGGATAAAGAAGATGTGGTACATATATACAATGGAATATTACTCAGCCATTAAAAAGAATGAAATAATGCCATTTGTAGCAGCATGGATGGACCTGGAGATTATCATACTAAGTGAAGTAAGTCAGACAGAAAAAGACAAATATCATATGATATTTATATGTGGAATCTAAAAAAAAGGATCAGATGAACTTATTTACAAGACAGAAACAGACTCACAGACTTAGAGAATGAACTTATGTTTACGGGTGTGGGGTGTTGGGGAGGGACAGATTGGCAGTTTGGGATTGACATGTACACTGCTGTATTTAAAACAGATAACCAACAAGGACCGACTGTATAGCACAGGGAACTCTGCTGAATACTCTGTAATAACTTAAACGGGAAAAGAATTTGAAAAAGAATAGATACATGTAAAATATACGTATGCAATATAACTGAATCACTTTGCTGTACACCTGAAACTAATACAACATTGTTGTTAATCAACTATACTCCAATATAAAATAAAAATTAAAAAAATAAAGTGTCTATAATTCATGTCTTTTACTTATTTAATTTGCCTAAGTGGCCAGGTTTCTATTATTATTATATTATATGTAATCTTGATTTTGTTTTATAGAGCTGTTTGAATTAAACATACCAAATGGAACACTGAATAATCTGAAGGGAGTAAAAGAAATACAGAGGATTTCACTGTATTCTGTGGTGCGTGAAAATGCACTGCTCTTACATAACATCTAACTGTGCCTGGGAGCTAAGAAAGAAGCAAGAGCTTTCTTTAGCACCACAATCACGCCAGGGTTCTCAACTGCATCATGCTCTCTGCTACTGGGCAAGAAACAGTCTTGACATGGATTCAGAAATCCACTTAGGGGTAATTTGTAATAACAAGATAATAATTGTTATCAATTACAATAATTTGTAATAACAAGAACAGTGGGTACCAAGTACCTACACATACCAGGAATTCAGTTTTTCTGATGCAGAACCAGAGGTTCAGAGAGATGAAGCAGTCTGCCCAAGGTCATACAAATAGCAAGCAAGTTCCTCAGGGCAAGGGCTGGTTCTTAGTTATCATCCTATCTGGAGAGCCTCAGATGTAGGATGCAATCACTGTTGGTGGGGTGCCTGTGTCTGACTTTTAATGGCAGAGGTTGTCTTATTTTGCTTAGTTTTTAAGTTGGTTTAGTTTTTAAGTTGGTTTAAGAAATTAGCACTTGTGTGCTCACTCTCCCTGTTGTGTTAGGATGGGGCAGTTCTTAAAATGAGAGGTTGATCCAGGAGACAGTTAAAATTACTTTTACTCTAAGTTACATTGACAACTTACAGGGTAATCATTTTTAAAGGATGTGGTACATTTATTTTTAAAATGATGACCTCCCTGAGAGAAACAACTATCTTTCTTGTGATAGATGCTTTATCAAATCCTTGTAAGTAACAAGAGGGGGGAAAAAAAAGACTGTGTTATATAACACAGCAAAATGGGAAGACTTCCTGGGTTTTTTTCCTCCTTCTATTAAAAACAAACAAAAACAACAAAAAACAAACACCTGCCTGGAGTCTGGAGTTAGGCCCAGTTGATTTTTTTTGGATTTCACCTTGGTGAATGCTTTCACCAAAGGTATATGACACTCATGGTTTCACCTTCTGAAATGAGACTTGACAGCTGTTCGACACCACAGAGCAACGTTATATAACAAGGCAGCTCAAGAGGCAAAAAAGAAAACCACATTGAAATGAGTTTGGTGAGTGGGTTGGTGGTTAGGCAGAGTACACTTTCACCAACATAGAAAATAGTCAATGGCAAGGCCACGTGAACAATTATCATTTTGTAAATGCTCCAGATTTTTCCTACAATAAATCTCTGAACTGGACATACTTACATATCACAGGCAGTGACCTTCTAAGTGAGCATTTGTGTGGGAAAGCACTGCTCCTGCCACAGAGTCTGAATTCTTTTAGGGATGTGCCCGGAAGTCAAGTATGACCCCTCCTTCTCTTTTTTATAATGCCACCCCACAGAAACAGTTTTTAAGAAACAAAGAGTAATTTCAATGGAAAGAGTCAAATCGTTTTGAGAGTCAAAGACTTTTGACCTTATTAGCAACTCTAAAAAAAATGTAATGCAATTCACTGTCCAACATGAGCTCTTCCTGAGCATAAATATTTTACTTTTTTTTAAACAGTGAGCCCAAGCTCGTTTTAATATCTTAGCTCCAGAGAAGGAAGCAGGCTTCTACTGTTTCACACGCCTCTTTAAAAAAAAAAAAAAGTATCTTTAAAACAGCGTGGGTACCAAGCTATGAGTCACAATTGGTCCCATAGTCAGTACTTTGTGGTTATACAAAATTTGCTCATGAAAGCCATGTGTTAAATTAAAATTGAGAAATTACTGGAAGACACAACCAAAAAAAATTAGAGAATGTGTTTGTTTATGCAAATCCTTGAACAGCTCTACCCTTTGCTTTTTATCAATATTGACAGAAAGCATGTACAATGAACTTAGCACTAAAATGGCATCCCTAATAGGTCAATCTGTTCCTGCTTAACATACCAGAGGGATATATTTTAAAATCTCAGCCATTTCTAAAAAGTTTGCAGTTTCCTGCTTAGGAACCTAAATGGCTATTTTTGAGTCCGAACATGCACATAACTTGATATTTGCAAAAGGATGTATTTGGGGCCATTTTCCTGATAAAAATCCTGTTAGACCAGGTTGTATATCATGCAAGAAGACACTGAGGACTAGTACCGCATGGACTGTTTAGGTCCATAAATGGAAGAGGTGGTTGAGACTGGATGCACACACTGAATGGTCTCAATTTCATTTTACATCAAAGATACTGGTTGAAAGATCAAGTCTTTAATAATATGTTTAGAGAGGGAAAAGAAAACTCTATTTGGTTTACCTGGAAATATTAGCAATCTTTACACAGCCCATACATTTTGGAATGTATCCTTTATCCTCAAATAATCGGAAGTTCATAAAAATCTTTTTCACTATGGAAAAAGCAGAGCATATTGGGGGCTGGGTATTTAGCACCTTTGTAAAATTAATGCTAGTGTTAAAAATCAGGATAAATTGCAAATTTGGAATGAAATGTCTTACTACAGAGCCTGGTGCATTCTATCTGCTGAATAAATGTTGAATAAATTAATAAAAGGAAGATCAGGGTTTCCAGCTTTATCATCTTTTGAAAACAGATACCCGCTAACATCAAAACTAATGCCATTTTGTCTACATTAACAATATTCATGTCTCAGGAACTTCATCATAAAGTTGTATAACTATTGGGAAGTTACTATAGAAATGCTAGTGCATCTACCCATGAAGTGTAACTGGATCTCCTTACGCACAACCTCACATTGTATGTTCTCTGAATTAGGTTGCAAAGGACTGAACTTCAAGGTCTTATATCATGCTACTAAATACAGGAAAGATCTACACACAGCTTGAATCAACACACACACACACATCTTGATGAAAAATATAGTTGGTAAAACACAGTAACACAATAATTAAGAACTACACACACACACACACACACACACACACACACACACACACACACACACACACACACAGAGTGAAAGAAAATACTCAAAAAGTGAAGAGAAGCTGCTAGTGTCAGCAGCATAACGGTCCCATGGTAGCCATCCTCCTTTCATCATGGTCAATTCATTAGCAGAGGAGAAAAGACAGAAACTATGGGAAATGCACACCATCTGCTCAATCCAGAGGCAACAGCACATGCCTCTTATAGCCAAAGCTTTTTACCAGAAACGGAAGGAGATAAGATCTAATCCTCTCACAAAATATCCCACGAAGGTAGTTAGACATATTTGCATCACAAATAAATATATAACACCCAAATCATTATTAGATGAGATCTTTTAAATATCAGTCAAGACTTTTACCACTCAGTATACACTGATCAAACAGAATACTAAATCAGCATCAGAGAAAATGGGGTTGGATTCTATCACCTTTATTAAGCTATTCCTTAAAAAAAATCTTGCTTAAAACATCTTCATTCCCTGAATAGCAAGAACATTTTAGTCCAGTCGTCCTAGTTTTAAAAAGACACACTTCAATATTGTATATTTCAAGAAATGTGCATTTCCTTTCTTATAACAAAAGGTTAAAAATAAATATTCTTACCTTGAAATTGTGAACCTTTTCATATTTTGGAATTTGCTCGTTTTCTTTCAGAGTTGCTCTTCTAACAAGTGATGTCAACTGCGAATAAGCAAAGAGTTTCAGAGGTTGCCAGATTGTCACAGACGACTTTTGAGAACCCAGTTTCATTCCCAAGGCTGCTATCAATAAATCTTGCTGACGGCCCTCTTGTTTTGATTTGTGAACTGTAGCTCTATTAGTTTTCCTACCCGACCAAGACTCTTTGGATGGCATTTTGGAATTCACAGGAAATAAAGAAAACCTATATTGATCTATGTCTGTCGATGAACTCTATTCAGCTAACAAATGAGCATTCTGCCAGCCAGCACAGAACCCTACCCTACAGAGAGCTGCAGAGAAACATCACGGAGAGGTGGAGGAGGATGATGAAGCACTTCTTAAAAAGAGGTCGACTAACCAGAAAAATTCTTCTTTCTTCCTTTTTTTTTTTTAAAGGGCTCTATATTTAAGCTTCTGAAAACTTAAGAGTCTGAACAGAAATAGAGTCGATGCTAACATACAAAACATTCAGCATTTCTCTATCCTTTTTAAAAAGCCATGCAATTTTGACAAATGACACATTTCTAAAAGCTTTTTTTTCTAGTCAATATATTAATGTCCATTCTAAATGAAAGATGCCTACATACTGCCTGCAGTCAGTTTCTAGCAACTGACACCCTGTGAAGCCCCTGGCAGAGGATGGGGGAGGGGAGGGATTTGACAAGGAAGTCTGGATTAGACTGGTCACCGTTAAGAAAGGAGATAACCAATGAAAATCAAGCAACAGTATTTAAGTACTGTATTCCTCAACTCACTGTCTGTTTCTCCCTCCTCTCATGTAAGATTTTCTTGCTGGCTCAAGGCAAAAAAAAAAAATATTAGTGGGAAGACAATGAACACTGAATGAGTCATGCATCATTACAAAATGGATTTTTTTTTTAACCTATTAAAAGTAAAGGAAAATTAACACATACAACAGTAGGTTTTAAAAAGAATGCTTTGAAAAGAGTGCACCACTGCCAGAAGGCTGATCTATAATCTACCTCTGTGCATATGGACTGAGGTTAGTTAACTAAAACCCCATTTTATTAAAGATGAGCAAAAGCTGGTAAGTATTTTGATGAAAAAGAAAAGGAGTTTAACTAGTTATCATTCTATTTTCATGGAGAGCAAGAAGCATGTACATAATGCTGCCAACACCCTGGGGTGGTCAGTTCTGACTTCCTACCGTGAGTAGTTTTGTTGTGGATCTATGCTTAAATAGGTCCAACCACTATTTTCATTCTTAGTCTCAACATTCTTCATTCAAAGAGCTTCAAGCCAGGTCACAGTGCAAGCCGGTTGGGAATAATTCCTCATGTTCACAGGTCCCAGATGTAGTGTAACTGTGCTTGTTGGACCTTAGGTGTTTGTTTGCTGATGTAGAAAGGCGGGTGCAGGGCAAGAGACTCAAATCCAGCTTCATTTAAGAGCAATACCTATACAATACTTTTTTACTAAGGTGCTATATAAGCTTAAGTTTTCTCATATTGGTTCCTTAAACACCTCCCATCTGTTTCCTCATGCTACAGTAATTAAGTTTAACCCCTTATGATTCTAAGGTTACACTGTATTTAAAGAATCTAAAACTCTATATTGAAATGAATTCAGTCTATTTGCGTAGATAATTGCAAAGATTTTATCTCAGATTTCATAATCTACAGGGGTTATGGGCCCAATGCAGATTCTCATTTAATCAGGGCATGAAGTGGTCCTTAAACCATGCTAGATATTGATGATACTGAATGACTGATTTTCTAAACACCCCCAAATATTTTGAGTATATAGTTCCAACTTTTAAAACGGTTTATTCTTTTAAAAACATTTCTAAGAAAATAGAAGGCAAAAGTTAATATATACATCTACAGATGTTTCATTTCCACAAATTTATATCCTAAAGTGATTAGTATGAGACAAAAAAAATTTTTTTTCCCAAGAAGAAATAGGATGGAAAGAACTTTCCTTGCCTAACCTAAATTACTCTTCAGCTTAGACTTAGTTTGTCACATGATGACTAAAAATATAAAGGCCAGCCAACTCTTTAGTCACATACAACCTAAAGTGAAGTTTATCTGATTCTCAGTGGGCCCAGAAAAAAACAGATTCTGAAGGCAAATTTAACAGTAATTTTTTTCTCCACAACATTTAACACTGAATGTTAAAGTGACTAAGTTAAAGAAAACAATCACCCATGTAACCCAACTAACTTTTTTTCCCTGAGTATTTCTGATCAAGGTCCTTTATTAGAGATCACCCCAGTCCTTCAGCTGTAGTAACTAAAATTCAACCAAAGCATAAAAATATTCATGGTAGATTTATCCAGAAAATTCATGGCTGAGTAAAAGTGAACATTTTGTCACTGAGAGGCCAGGTCTACTGCAGACTCTGCAGAGTCATACTGTCTTTCCTGAGTAATTTTTCTACCTAAGCAAGAAATACTGGAATAATTACAACTTGGGCAACAATCTAGGGCACTAAGGAGACAGGAAACAATGGTTTAGGATGAAAAACTTCTTAGCTCCCCTCAGGTGGCTGGGGGTTTGGTCACTATTACGCCTTCCATAACTGCAGCTGCATTTCTGCATTAATTTTGAGGAGCTCTCAAGTCAGAACTGCTAACTCTCGAATTCAGAACCAGTATCAAAGTTCTGACATTCCAGACAAATGTATACCACACTTCCTTATATTTTTTCTGGCCATATCTATCTACTTAGATAGATACAGCATCTATTAATTATGCCTATCGTTCATTGATTATTAGGCACTTATGCTCTAAGCACCCAGCTAATCACTTCACATACAGAATCCCGTTAATTCCACAGAAAAATGTCTGTGAGGCATATACTATCCTCATTTTACAGCTGGAAGAACTGAGGCCTACAGAAGTTAACTTCCCAAAATTGTACAGCTGTTACATTAGGTGGTGGATAGGAGTTAGGCTCTTAAACACTATGCTATATCCACTCAGATGAGAAAATGAGAGGAAACCATGCAGTCTGAGGGTAGTCTGATTCTATTCAAGGTGGTTTCTCTAGTTATCTTCTTTCATATTGAAGAGTAGCAATAGATAGTAAGACACAGTAAGCAATGAGTAACAATGGATGGTAAGAAAAAGTAACAGGCACTAAGATATCTAGATCTCAAGTTTACCACGCAGAACCTGCAGTAGGAAATGCAGCCCTCAGGCTCCATTCAGACACGCCCTCCTTCATGATGCCTTTGACCATTTGCGGCAATTAGACGTGACCTCATCCACCTGTGAACATCGGAGTCCTTCACTTGTTCATTGATTATGAGATGTATCACCTTCTACCTCATATCACAGTTGCCTGTGTAGCTGTTTATATAGAATTGGGTCTTATACATCTTAGTATAAAGCCTGAATCTAACACAGTAGCTTGTACCAATAAAGGTTCAATAAATAAAAATAAAACCAAATGAAGGCAGCTATTTTTATTGGGGGGCAGTGTGTTATAATAAAAAGTGAGATTTGAAATCACAGACACTGAAATCTGAATCCTGACCTTGGGAGATTTGTTTGTTGCCTTGGTTATTACCTCATTTACATACTACGGACAATAACGCTTATAGGTTACTACTGGGCAGTTTAGAGGGGATGATATGTAAAAGAGGAAAAGACAGTGGGCACTCAATAAATGATATTATTACAGGGCGCTGTATAGCTGCAGGTCACGCTGTGTAGTATAAGACATAGGCTCCTGTCCAAGGAGCTAGTAGACTAATCTGCTTTTGGTTTACACATACACACATGCCTAGAAATGCCTGCCCTTCCCTTTATATTATGGTCTCTACCAAATTCCCCCAATTCTAGTTCAGATCCTATCTTTTAAAAGGCCTAGAATGACACCTAATGTTAGCTGAGGGAGCAGGGTTGGGACAGGGTGAAAAGGAAAGATTATCAGCATAGGAAACCAGAAACAATGTGCAATACTTCATATCGTTGTTCTATTTCTTGGTCATATATCCTGAGATGTGTTGTATAATGGACATTTTATAGACGAAGAAACACTCACAGAATGAACTGCTCAAGGTCCCAGTCAGGAAGTGGAAATTCTGTGGTCTGAATCCCTGTCTTTTGTCCCCAAAGCCTGGCAGCTCTTTCTGCTACCTTGTAATGAGAGTAGGAGATAAACCCGAGGTGTTACAGATAGAGCCCCCTTGTGTTCTGGTTCTATAAAGGAGAAGAAAACGGCTTCAGTGGGTGGGGGTCTGAACTGGCAGGGTACATGTCCCACGAGGTCATTCTAGCTAGAAACACCAGCAGTATTTAGCTTTTTATTCTGACTGGGAATCTTTGGCCTGTCTTGGACCTGACTCTTGCCATCCTCCATACAGGTATCACTTCTGTATTGTTTGCCTGGATGAGGGTTAACTGGCCTGGAAAAAGAGATGGGGAAGGAGCAGATTCCACAACGCTCTCTGTTTCCACCTTCATCCATACCATCTGTAGTACAGAGAAGAGGACCGGGAAAATGATGGGGGGGGGAGGGGTGTCGTGTGAGGAATAAGGAAAAGAAGGGGGAAATAGGTGACCTTGGAAAGGAATGCATTTGCTGCTGTTCGAATAAAGAAGTTTCCACCACTGACCCTACTACCCTGTTGTCTGTCTAGTAATAATACTGGATTTGTGCTGAGTTAGCCTCTCATTTTCACCATGTGTAGCACAACAGGATCATGGGCACCAGGGCCAGACAAAATCTAAAATCACATCCTATTGGCTGTGGTGTGTCCTTGGTCAAGCTACTAATTTGTGTGTCTCCTTATGTGTAAAATGGATTAGAAGTACTTACATTACAGAATTATTAAGAATTAAATAAGTATTTTGCATTATTCCCAGCACAGAAAGTAATCAATAAATAGAAGTTTCCCCTCCTTCCCTTCCAAGACCCCATCTTTCCAAGATCAGCGTTAGTATAACATGTGACAGTGATACACATTAAAGGCCCAAGGCCACTGTCCTAAGCAATGTGAGCTTCAGGTCAAATTGTAACTAGGTGGTT